GGAGGACGGGATGGCAGACAGCCTCCGGTGTCACCAAGGATGGATGTTGGGCCCTGAAAAACACCCATCCCTTGGGTGTGGGGGGGCTGCCGCCTCACCCCTCGCCTGGGAGCGGGCGTGACGTGGGCACCATCCCTGTGTTGCCTCGGAATGCCACCCTCGGAATGCCACGAACCTGCGGAACAGCTCCAAAAACAGTTTCAAAGCACCAGTGGGCAAATTCCGAGAAGGAGAATGCTTTGAGGCCGGTTACACGAACGCACCTCCTCTGGCTGGCCCCGGGCTGTGTGTCTCCAGGAGCACCCCAGGATGCATCCCCGGCCTCACGCCGTGCCCCCTCCCGCCCTCTCAGCTCCCGGGGGGCCGGGTCCTGCCCCGTTCTCCCCCCGCTGAGTCCCCTTCACCCTCCCTCTCCCCTGCACATGTGCGGAGACAGCTGGGGAAACAGCGTGATCCCATTAAAGCCACCGTAAAACTAAATCAGAAGAGCCAAATAAAATATTTAACAAGCAAATAAAAGCGCAACCGGAGCCCGGCTCTGCTCCACAAGACGACCTCCTCCGCAATGCCGGGTTTCCCAGCTCTTTTTCCCCCCTGAGGACCTCAGCAAATGTCACCTGTTTGCATCGGGTCGAGACGGGGGTCAAGAGCTCCCGGAGGGCAGGTCCTGGTTTCCAGAGCCACCCTCCTCCCGAGGCAAACAGCTGCGCCCGGGGCACGCCGCAGGGCCGAGATAAGCCGAAACAACTGCCATCGCCACCCAAAAAGTCACTCCCGGTGCAAAGCGGGGGCAGAAGAGGGCAGTGGAAAGGGGCAGAGCCGGAGCCATCCCACTGGGGCGCAGGGGAGCCCCAAGAGCATTCCCAAGCAAGCACGGGGAGGATGGGCTGGGGAGACCAGCGTTGGCTGGAACCAGCTCCGAACCAACCTCCCGGTGATGCCACCCGGAGACCAGGCTGTTGGACGACTCCCCAATGCCAGGGTGAAGGGGTGTTTATGCCTGCATTCCCAAAGCTGTCAGGGCAAATCCCTGCTGGGTACCAAACCCCGG